AGGCGCTCAAATCACTAAACAGATTGCAAGTGTGTTGGCAAAAGAGTTTATTCACCACTCAGCTTAGTACATCACAAATCAGTACAAAACGAGAACGAGATTACAGCTCTCTGTCTTCTAACGACGCGAGTTCTTTGTCTTTACTCTGTGCTTCGACGCTCTTCCAAGTTCTCTTGCTATACTGACTAAATTTACTTAAAAAGCTCTATTTATGTTTGAGTCTGCATTCCTCATGTATTACAATAATCCACGCGCAATACGCCCAAGGCGCACTTGTTCCGTARAACGTGGCTTATGCTAACATTACTCATGTAATCCCAGGAAATTAATTAACTACTTGTTTGCAGATTTCACTTGATATATATATGGTGTTTTCACTAGGACAATTTAAACTAGCTTAATTACGACACCGGAAATAAGGCAAAGTTAAACTACCTAGCAAGATGGTTTAAGTTGTCCTACCAAATAAATGGGCCAATCACAGTGTTATTCTTGAAAGGTGGGAGTCGGATTAAAACACCTCCAGGAATTTTACGCAAGTTAACATTTCTAGTGGAAAACACAACCATAGAGGAAGAACATTCCTTAGTATCCGAAATTATAATTAAACTAATTAAACTGATAATTCACCGGTTCCTTTTGGTAAGGAGCTGGTCGATGACAGAATAACAAGTAGACGACTACAATATCTAACAATCGCAACTCATGCACTTTGAATACAGTCGCCTGAGTCAAACTTCAATCGAAGTCCCGTTATTTTTGGTTGTTAAGCTAATTTAATCTCAAGTTATATAATTTCTARCTAACAAGCTAGCGAGCGAACTTCGGAACTCAGTTGGGAAATTCGCTCCCAAGTTCAAACCTAATTTCCTAAGTTCAGTCTTAAGTTTCCAATTAGATTTGTTCGTTGACAATGAAATTGAAATATTTTTCACGTAGTTACCAATTATACAAAATATTCGTTTGGTTTTTATTTTTAATTCTTTTTTTCTTCTTCAAGGATAATGGAAATATAAACTTAATATAGATTTAGGCACTGCCTAAAAGCGGAGCTCCAAAGAAATAGTATATATAGTATTGAATACGTGTCAAGCATGGCGTTACAAAATCGGTCGTGTTTGTCAGACAGAGCCTAAATATAAAACCGGAAATGACCTTTGAGGCTCAAATGCAACTTTGCCGCGAATGGTTTTCAATTATATTTTCAATAGTTAGAAATTCTCCTCCATATTAGACATTGTAATTCGGTCTACCCTGTACTTGGTACTTGGTACCCTCGACGTAAAACTGGACCCTCGACTTGGTACCCTCGACCCTCGACCCTCGACCCTCGACAAAAAGACAGACTCTTCTTTAACTATAATGCAGTAGTTATTCTATTGTTTCTCATTTCTAAGCCATAAAGTAATAGCTTACCTTGTGAGGCATAGTTGTTTAGGTGCAGACTACCAGAGCACTGTAGACGGAAATGATGTCATAAAAAGTAGGTAGAGCGACCCGGAACTTTCTTCTTTCACAAATTTGRCACATTGCCTCTATAATCGAGTTTGAAATCTGTATTTCTATAGATCGAGTTAGTTTAGTCGAAGTTCAATGATTGCTTGACGACAAAGAAAAAAAAAAACGAATCCTTGCTCGTAACTGCAGCTATTTAGTTTTCTAAATGTTAACAGGACTCCTGGCAGTTATGAAAGTCAGGGGGGATGGGTCTAGGCCTGTGTACATCTCAAGGGGGGAGTCTTGGATGTAAAAACTGAACTAGAAATAGTCACCCTGCAATGTTCTAACCAAGTCTAAGTGAAATAAACGAAAGGTTCCATAGCAATAATTTTGCAGAACTTCAGAGTTTTATAAATACATTTATTTCAGAAATCGTTGTCGCACCAAAAGCCTCAAGCCAAGACCYGCARAGAACGCCRATACTTTTAGCTGTAATTAGTTTATTCATGGTGCATTTTCATTTGACTGCACAAATTGCTCCAAGCAAGGCTGCTATAGCCACTTGCATGAACCATGAATAAATCACTTGTAATTAAAAGTACTGACGTCCTCTGGAGCCTTGGCTTGTTACTTGAGGCTCTTGGTGCGACAACGATTTTTGAAACAGGTGTATTTCAAACCAAATAGACAAGCAGATACTTCAGAATATAACAATAATATTCTATACAAAAATTCCATATTTTTGTCATCAATAATCCCATACCTTGATCTTGGTCAAGTGCTTACTCACCAGCCCCTCCTTCCCCCAAATGTATCTTCACCCTCTAAAAGCACTGCAATATCTTTAAAGGTTCTYTCAAGATATAAAACTTTTACACCACTATTAAATATGCTTCTAAAGTTTAATAAGCAAGATAGAAAATATATTTACATCTTATCATTATCATACAAATCTGTTCTGTAGTGCAAGTAAAGGTCATTCCTTGTRGAACTGACTAAGATTGATAAAACAATCAAATTTATAAACACTTCTCAATATATAAAATATTTCAAAATGCTCTCTTAGAAAGCATATAAGTGACAGTTTTTATCTTGCTCCAGAAAAAATTTTACAACTTAGATTAGCCAAAAGCATTAAGATATTTCTTGTGACAAAAATAGCTATAAAATTKTACAAAATCCCCCTCTCAACCTTTGAAAAGATAACTAATTTTCGGAAATRCTAGTTTTTTTGTTGTTTTACAGTTTGAAAAATCACCAATGTACATTAATTTGCATTTAATAAAAGAGATCTGAACGAATTAAGATTAAAATCATAAATGTTCCAAAAATATTCGAGAATCGAATCAAAATATTATTTTCTTGTATTTCTTAAATTTGTTTGYGGAGGAGTACTGATAAAATTTGCATAAAAAGATACAGGGACTAAAGATTCGAGGTGTGACTTCCTTTATGACAMGACACATAAAGTCATTTCTTGAAGTATGAGGGCTGCTGAAGTTAAACTCGGATATCAAATTGTGACATTAAAAAATGTTGGTGCAATGTTTATACTGTTTAAGTATGCTGTGTTGGATTTTGTTTTTCTTAATCACAATTTTGATTTTGATATCAAATTCAGCACTCATACTTTTAGAAACAACCCCAAAARAACTCATGTCAGGCAATTTAAGAGCTTCTCTTGAAGCGAGGAGGGAGAGACCTTCTTTTCTTCATTGTCGTTGTTCCAGTTGTTTTGGGGACGGGAGCTGTAAACAAACAAAAAGAATGAATGAATGAAAGCTATTGAATGGAGCAAACAGTGTGAAAATAAATAAATTGAAGGCAGAAGGCTGCAAATTAATATTTTATAGAATCATTACCTTGCATCACAGGTGCTCCAACAGGCTGATAACATTGCTGCTAAAAARCAAATGAAAAAGAAATTCAGCACAAACAAAATACTAATAAAAATAAGATATTGATTGAATAGATGATAAGATCTTTTCATATGGAGAAGGCTCATTTTCAAAAATTTAAATAGGAATGGGAATAAATAGTTTTACTCTTACTCTAAGAYACTTTAAAACTTGTTGCTACCCAAGTTACAGTYGTTACTCATTCCTCCCATCAACAATGCTTAAAATAATGGCCAATTAGTTTAAGGCAAAGATTTTACCAGACAARTCCAAGTATGTTACAGCCATTCTCTATCACACGTGCCACTGTAGTGATTGTTTCTGTYGTGACGAAGAAGTTTTAATGGGATATCAATCAATGCATTTCCATAACATTCCATACTCACAGGCCCTTATAGCTTTGTGTTTTCCAACAATGTTATGGAAATGCCTTGTGATTGACGTCCACCAAAACCTACTTCATCATGCGTGTGATTGAGAATGGCTGTGTCACTAGAAGGACTTTACATATTCACTGATAGYTTTCATACCTGTGCAATCATTGGGTAGCATACTTGAGGGTAGTAACCCAAGCAGCTCTCTGGAACATAACATGTTTCTGGAACATAACATGTTTCTGGAGCATAACATGTTTCCGGAACATAGCATGTTTCATAGCACAATGACATATCAGGAACATAGCACTGGCTGAAACATGAGGCATTGCATGGTTCCGGTACATAAATCGGCTCTACAGTGGTGGTGTCAGGCTGGACAGGCATATACTAGAGAAAACAAAAAATATTAGACTTTGTTTTACAATTTAGTAAAGCAGTCAAAATTAAATTTCATTAACTATTTAAGTTTCAAGGCAGCGGAGCATAATATTTTGGAATTATGGACAAGCAAACATGGTGTGATGACTACAAACCTGTGATGTTGGATCAAGGGAAAAGTACCTTCCTTTGGATGGTGCTTTAGGAACTACAAATGAAAGACAAAGAACAAGAAATTAGAACCCTACAGTTCAAGCAATACCCCATGTACCCCAAGCCCTTGAGAAAAGGGTTAAGATGTATAATATTCAAACAGAACCTTTTTTTAAAGTAAACTTACCAATGACAACCTCAGGCTTTATCATTGGCCCATCTTTTTTTACTGCAGGCCCGATATTTATTTTTTTATCCTTGAAAAACAATGTACCCTGAAAGAAATAATAGAAAAAGATACAATAAAAATAGAATTCTCTACATGCAAAATCTTCAAAATTTGCAAAGGACTACACTTTTAAAAAGCTTTTTCGAAAAAACCATAGTGGACGAAACTCCAAAGGTTTAAAATGAAGGAATAGTTAATATTTCACTTAAATATACTTTAAATAGATAYTTTAAATGTGTCTAAGTAAATTTTTTTCAGCTAGAGTAAATTATTTAATCGCTATTTAGATAGACGTGACTCTATTGCGTGACACTAACCCAACCTTCATAACTCTGAAACTAACCATCGAAATGACTCTAGTTTTTTCTTGTGACTTATAACAATGATTTCTAAAACATACTTGAGAAAAGCCTTTATACGATCTATACTTTAGATTTAGATGTTTTGATGACRTCATGTGAAAACTAGCAAAAGACTTTTTTAGATTGTTTCATTTTGTTTCCATGACAACAAATTCACTAGTAATGAATAATTTTTCAGCTATTCRTAAATTAAGTTCACAAATAGCCAAAAATAAAAAAATTCTTGATTTCATTTCATAATTTATACAAGTAAAGTCTTATTTTGACAAACAYCGTCAATGTCGCATTGATATACCGACATTTCCAAAATTTTACCAATAAAMTGTAAATCAGAAGGGTTCACAGCACCCACTGGATACACCCCTGCCCTGTTCCTCTCCCCTCAGTTAAAAAACTCAGTACTATCCCAGTGTGATGAAATACGCTTTACTTTGAAATAATAAGGAAGAGCAATAAGAAAACACTTACACATTGAATTACATTTTTTACATCTTCAGTCGACTTGAAGGTCACAAACCCGTATCTGTAAAAAGGCATAAAATAGTTTTAATACAAGATAAAGTAGCTACAGTAACAATTGTACAAGGACCACTGAGAATAGATCCACAAGATTATTAAAAAGGATTGAGACTAAGAAATTTAGTCGATAATTTAACRATTAGTAAAGGTATTTATCCTTAATAAATAGTAAGGTATTTATTTCTCTACAGTCCCTCCCAATCTGCGGTCTAAGGCGCCAAATGGAATAGAACTCGGAAATTTATAATTATGCACATGTACGAAGGCGCAAACAAAATTATCATTCAGGAAAGAATCATTAGAAAAATTACGAATAAGAAACAGTATTTTAATCACTAAGGTACTAACCCCTTGGAGATATTTTTCTCCGGATCAGCGATAACTTTGGCGTCCGTTACTAGACCATACTGGCTGAAATACTGGGCTAATTCTACTGCTTCCGTCTGAAATGAAATAAAACAAAGTTCAGTTACACAGTTAGATAATTAGAAAGAAATATTTACAAAAAGGTTCTCCTAAATACTAGTAAATCGCGCGCGCCTTAGTGCAGCCCAGCTGGATATTATTACATGTACGGAGTAACCTTTGCTCCGAACGGGTAGCGTGTTCAACCTCGGCAGTTTAAAACGACTTAGAAACGATTACAGAGCGATTAGTACCGTCTTAATACTATTAACTGYAATATTACTCTGGAAACGCTTTAGCTGGGAGGCAGTTGAAGCTAAAACTTAATCTTACAAAATGATTATCACGACGCCAATTCGGAACAACTATCAGTACGCCCACTTAGTTCGATCCATATTATAACAACTGTTAAAGAGCTTAGTACTTGAATTTCTAGAAATGAAAATATAAGTGCTTTGATACTTTAGAAAATAAGAGCAAGGCACTTCAGATACGGTACTGGGTTTTCTARTAAAACAAGACGTTACTTCAAAAACTACGACTATTTATCTGAAACCATTTGGACTATCAAGAGACGAAAGTGCGCGGTTAAAAATCAATAACGATTGTACTTACATTTGGGGGWAGACCTCCAACAAAAAGCCGATTGGGAAATCTTTTTCCGACCAGAAAAGTTGTGCTGTCGTTTGTAGTGGCCTAAAAACACAAGCAAAAGAAGAGCGTAAACAGGCGACTCATCAAAATAGTAAATGAGGTTTGTTTCGAAAGCCACGAGGAAGCAAGAAGCCACTCTGCAGCAAAACATGACTGCAAATAGTTTTATAATCGAAGACAAGTAGAATGTAAACAGGATATATAAGCAAAACTGTGTTGACATTAAAGAATAAATTATTTGCACTTACCATTTTATTGCGTTCAGACGAGTTCCAGAAAGGAATCAGTGAATTACTGAGATCGCTACAGAGATTGCTTCTGYCTGCACAAGTTGCACGTGTGAATGAAATACATCGTGCGGTGCGCTGGTATTTATACCGCTATTACCTAATGTTACACAATTAGTAACGTTTATTAACCTGGACAGTGAAAAATCAACAATATAAACTTCTGAAGTCACACCACTCAACCGCAACAGAAGTCCATTGTTTTAAAAGCTTTATACCTTAATTATCTCAATAGCCAGATATAAACACATGATTTTTTCAGGGATTTTTTTCCGCGCGGGTTTCAAAATTGAACATATTTTGTTTTTTTGGGAAACGCTTTTCGAGATGGGTGGCTTCCGGATAAAATGGTGATAACATGACAGTACTTTAGTAAGTAGGATAATTTGTGGCTGACAGCTCTGATAACTATGACTAATGGCAGATTACTAAAATCAGAAACCCCGCTCTGAAGTGCTGTAAGATGGATACCAGTATAAAGCAGGGAAAGCTTGGGCGCAAATCACGTATTGTTTTCATTCTAATTAAACTCGAATACGTTTTTCCRACTCAAATAAAACACTTTCTGGACACTCTATTTCTTCAAAAATTCATGAGTTGTCATTGATTGCAGTGAAAATATTGTTTTAATTTCTTGGTGCAAGGGAAAAGGATTGTGCAAACATTCCCACAATATCAATTTGTTTATAAATGCAAACAAACAGCATACCACTACAATAAGGAACTCTTATTTACCTCCTCTTTTGAACTTTTCATAATATTTTAAAAATATGAGACACTTTTCGGAGAAGCAAAAACCTTTGAAGAAGCGCTTCGTCTCGTTTTAGGACTTGTTGTAATAATAATAATAATAATAATAAT